ATTATTACTATTTAGATTTATTTACAACACAAGGCCGTGCTCACTAAGACACTATACCTACATAAATATTAACAGAACACATTGACATAAATGTGTGCAAATTAGTTCTCTAGATGTTTTTTGAAGTAATTGAGAGACATAGAGTTAACATAAGATTACTTTCAATATGATCACCTAGACTATTCCAGCTCACAGCTCCTCTGTAAGAAAAACTTATCTTGCGGAAGTTGCTTGGTTTTGGGCTTATCTAACGAAATATTTATATGGTTGCTACGCAAGTTATAATGCGGATTATCGCAAATGTTAAAACATTTGGGTCAAATAATTTGGTGCTAAACCTTTCATTATTTTGAACATCATGATAAGATCACGATGATGCAGAGTTTAGCGATGGACAACCATTTCAAGTTGGTGAAAATTTCAGCTGACCGTGTTTCGTTGGTTCACCCAGTAATACTCCTCGCTGCTCGCTTTTGCAACTTAAAAGTCTATCAAGGTTACAGGAGTTCCCATCGTTCCACAAGGTGGTACAATAAAAAGGACACATCCATTGAACTACTTAAATATTTACAGCCATTGAACTGCTTCAAAACTACGACATTGTACAGTTGCAATTTCTATACACGATATCTTCAGAATTCGTGCTATTCAGTTTAATGAGAAACGAGATAGCTCCACCAATGAGAGAAATGAGCGATAAATTCAGTTGCAATGAATATCCTCGCGACACCAACCCGGGCGTCCTTCGTTTTAAAAACCGCAGAAAATTTCTCAACTCTTCGCCTCGAGACGCGAATGTATACTCGGAAAGCGTCGGAGCGCTGTCGGAACCTTCCGTAGAGGTTGAGCCGATTGAGTATTGGGAAGCGGTTTGGCGAGGGTTGAGGGTTAAGTTTAAGTCGTTATTATTCGAAGCGATCAGAGGTATGGAGTCACTTACGGTGTCGCCAAGGGAGTCGATATCTTGTTCACCATATGAATGCGTCCCAGATCTGACAGAATGCACCTCACCAAGAGAATGGCTCTCAGCTTCCAGTAACCAAGGGGAGATATCGTTGATTCGTTCCATAAATTCTCTTTCTCGTCCCTTTATTAGCTCACCCACAACGGTAGGCGCAAGCCAGATGGTCACGACAAATATCAAGTAACAAATGAACTGTGGCAGATGTTTCGAGGGGTATGCACGACCGGAAACTGCCTGAGCTAGCTCGTAGCCGTACAGCGGTATCACGAGTGTTACGATGTTATGCGCGAGGAACCACCACGAAATTCCTTTCCAGGAATTTTTCACCGGCCGTGCATACATCTGTACGAAAAACGAGACGGCGTCGACTGACGAGTGCTTCCATTTGATGAAAATATTTTCCATGATTTTCAAGCGAGCTGCATAACTACAATACAACAGTGCTAAAGTCCAGAATAATGCAAGTCCTACACCGAGGTTATAGACAATTGAGAATGGTATAGAACAATACAAAATATGATCAAGTGGACCACGTATATGGGGCATTTCAGCTGAAAATCGTTCAGCCCCTTGGCCCCACAGTATATGTGTCGTTATGAATAGCGTGCAAAGCATTATGGAGAAAAACGTCATTGACATTATGACGGCAGCATTTAGGATTTTGAGCCTGCGATTCAAATGTTTCGTAATTCCGGTCAGCGGTCTGAAGGGCTTGAGTACATTTGTCTCCAGGTCCCTAGAAGCGAAGTAGCGGTTACCAAGGATATGGCCTAACCATATAACTATCTCATGAACGATAAAAAGCAGTTCGATATTTAACCATGTAGATTTCCCTGTCGCTCGTATTGAATTACGTATGGGTCCAGTAGTCAACAGTAGGAGGTTTACGAATACAGGATAGACGTACTTTTCCAAGAAGCACGCTGACCACGGTCGCCATAATGACAGCAGGCGCAGAAGGATGCGGATCACTCGGAAGCCCTTGGAACTAAAGAGCAGGGTATTGTTGTTACGATCAGGTTCCTGGATGTCTACAGTATCCATACTTATTAAATGAATGAAGATTCTTGGTTCATGCAAGTCGGTGGTTTTTTTATTTCTGAAATACAAAGAAAGAAAGAATGTTGAGTGGATAGTGATAGACAATACACGTTAAATTTGCTTGTAAAATACAACAAGAACACTCTTGCTCTTTTTCAACCGGGATATAAAAAATCGAATAATCGCGCCGCGTTGTCGAATCGCGTCCGGTGTGTTTCGGCCTTAAGAGTTAAGGCTCCGACACACCGGACGCGATTCGACAAAGCGGCGCGATATTTCGATTTTCACTGACCGGTAACTTTGATCCTGGTTTAAGTTTTTCAAATACTTAGAGGCGCTATAACAATTTGAGTTATTTGGTCTGCGTATGTTTTAAAAGTTCCTTTCATTGGCTGTTTTATTAATTTTCAAAAACTGGAAAATCGCGCCGCGTTGTCGAATCGCGTCCGGTGTGCCTCGGCTTTTAAGAGTACGTTTCCCACGCAGAAAATTGCTCGTGAATCTAACTCCTAACTAAGGGCTTGGCTAGGACAGTAGTCAGGGCAATTGCCTTTCATTTCCGAGACGGTCAGTCCGATTGTCGCCGCAGACTTGTGTGAAAAGAGTCCGTTAACGTTTCACCAGCAGTCGTATAGGTTTTCTCCGAGAATTCCGGTTTCCTTCTACAGGAAATGTTTACAGGGTGTGTTGGGTAAATTCCAAATTGACCCTCCCGTCGTATCTGTGTTCCGTGATCTGACATATAGTGGTAGCCAGAGTCGCCCTTAGTAAGCTTTCGACTCGAGAAGGTTGAGTGCAGCACTGGAAAAAAATAGTGAAATTCATACTAAGGAATTTGTGATTGCATCATTAAATCCATAGTATATCCATACTATTTCCATACTATATCCATACTATATCCATAGTATATCCATACTATATCCATAGTATATCCATACTATTTCCATACTATATCCGTAGTATATCCATACTATTTCCATACTATATCCATAGTATATCCATACTATTTCCATACTATATCCATAGTATATCCATACTATTTCCATACTATATCCATAGTATATCCATACTATTTCCATACTATATCCATAGTATATCCATAGTATATCCATACTATATCCATAGTATATCCATACTATATCCATAGTATATCCATAGTATATCCATACTATATCCATAGTATATCCGTACTATTTCCATACTATATCCATAGTATGGAAATTGCCTTCAGTATGAAAATTGGATTTCGATACCATTTTCAACAAAGGTCCATACTATTTCCATGGTAAGGGTTTTGAAAACATTTCCCAGTGTAGCTGTCATCTGTAAGTAAGGATGATTAGTACATCTCCCATTTACTAATTCACCTATCAAAATAAAACTATTTCTTGTACAGTACTTGTTTCCTTACATATGCTGCGTCTTCCGTGTTTGCTATATACACACGACGATTATCAATATTACACATCAGACACCCAGAGCACTTCTCGAAACTTCCAAACTTTGAAAGCTAAAATTTTATTTTCAACCATAACGCAACTCACCTATACCAAAACAGCAGAAAATGTTGTAGAGAATGAGCAGAAATGTTGGACATTAGATGATAAATTTACTCGTAGAAAGCGGAAAAGCTAGGTTTTATTTACACTGTGATATTGGTCCACTTTCGCCACGCTGTCATACGACACAAATTACGGTATTTTTCCTTGCTGCCATGTGAAATTTACATATTTAGAATGGCGTCATCATCAACATGCACGCGTGAAACACTATTTTTTTCAAACCGTATTTTCAAACACAATTTGGGGTCTTTGGGAAACTCATGAGCGTATATTTTTCCAAATTGCACGAGAACCCATGCATGAAACAATTACACAGTGGTGAAGCTAGTCATGGAAACTGGCCATGCTATGCTAATAAACCTGCAACCAATTGAAAGTGTACAAAAAGCACCAATTTCTCTCCGCCCCCTCCCCCCTCACGCTCCACCTTTCAACTGAAGAGTTGCTCCCCCCTCCAATTTCAACTTTCATCAGAGTTGACCAGAGTTGGCGCTCAAACGCGAGCGAGAGTTGCAACCCTCATCAATTCTCATCCCTGTTTGACCGAGGCTTTAGCCATAAATCGCAAGTTAACATGAGTGTTTCATCAACCTCGTATGCCTTGGTCAAACGAGAACAAGAATGGCAGTCGAGAAGCCCTGGGAACGAAATAGAAATCATCTTTCTAAAGATGTATAAACATATAGAAATCATCTTTCTAAAGATGTATAAATATATAGAAATCATCTTTCTAAAGATGTATAAATATATAGAAATCATATTTCTAAAGCACGAATCATAAACACCGAACTTTTCTTTCATTAATACTTAGACAAAATATTATCATGCATGTCACATGGAGTTTCCAACAACCTTTTTATTTAGCTCAAGAAAGTGCTTTCAATACCAAGCACAGGAGAATAGCGTGTAAATAACCATACTTCAGAATACATGGAAAATCCGCTTTGACAATGGCTGTACAACAAAATATAAATTTCTCAGCCATTGCACTTTTCGCTTGCAATATTCACGTCCGCTTTCTTTTCCAGATTCATGAGCCGAAATAGAGCATGCATATTAGCAACACAGTTTAACCTGCGTTTTCTTCTACAAGCTAGGTAGAGTTAGGAAAAAACAAATTGAAGAAACTCCAACATTGTAGCGAAAAGTGAAAATTTATTCCCAAATGTTTCATAATACATTATTTATTATTATTATCATATTATTATCATTATCATTATTATCTACATTTTACTCGGTTTTGCACCGGTTGCGCCATTATTATCGTTATTATTATTATTATTATTATTATTATTGTTATTGTTATTGTTATTATTGTTATTGTTATGTTTATCGTTATCATTATTATTATTATGTAAATATAGTTTTATGGTATATTATGAAATAAATAAAGTTTTCATTATTATTATTATTATTATCACTATCACCATTATCATCATTATCATTATCATCATCATTATCATTATTATTATTATCATTATCATTATCATTATCATCATTATCATCATTATTATCATTATCATTATTATCATTATCGTCATTATCATCATTATCATCATTATCATTATTATTATTATCATCATTATCATCATTATCATTATCATTATTATTATTATTATTATTATTATTATTATTATTATTATTATCATCATCATCACTATCACTATCATTATTATTATTATTATCATCATTATCATTATCATCATCATCATCATTATCATTATCATTATCATTATTATTATTATTATTATCATCATTATCATTATCATTTATCTGCAACACAAGGCCGTGTTCACTAAGATACCAAATATTAACATAACACATTGTCATTGACATAAATACGAGCAGTCCAAATTAGTTATCTACTTTACTTTCTCTACTACTAACATTACTTTGAATATGATCATCTGGATTATTCCAGCTTACAGCTCCTCTGTAAGAAAAACTTCTCTTGCGGAATTTGGTTTTGGGCTTATCTAACCAAATATTTATATGGTTGCCACGCAAGTTATAACACGGATTATCGCAAATGTTAAAACATTTGGGTCAAATAATTTGGTGCTAAACCTTTCATTATTTTGAACATCATGATAAGATCACGATGATGCAGAGTTTTAGTGATGGACAACCATTTCAAGTTAGTGAAAATTTCAGCTGACCGTGTTTCGCAGGTTCACCCAGTAATAATCCTCGCTGATCGTTTTTGCAACTTAAAAGCCTATCAGGTACAATAAAAAGGACACATCCATTAAACTACTTAAATATTTACAGCCATTGAACTACTTCTAAATTGCTACATAAGTGGCTATGTCTACGACATTGTACAGTTGCAATTTCTATACACGATATCTTCAGAATTCACGCTATTCAGTTTAATGAGAAACGAGATAGCTCCACCAATGAGAGAAATGAGCGATAAATTCAGTTGCAATGAATATCCTCGCGACACCAACCCGGGCGTCCTTCGTTTTAAAAACCGCAGAAAATTTCTCAACTCTTTGCCTCGAGACGCGAATGTATACTCGGAAAGCGTCGGAGCGCTGTCGGAACCTTCCACAGAGGCTGAGCCGATAGAATATTGGGAGGCGGTTTGGCGAGGGTTGAGGGTTAAGTTTAACTCATTATTATTCGAAGCGAGCAGAGGTACGGAGTCATTTTCGGTGTCGCCAAAGGAGTCTTCTTCGCCAAGGGAGTCGATTTCTTGTTCGCCATGGGAATGCGTCCCAGATCTGACAGAATGCACCTCACCAAGAGAATGACTCTCAGCTTCCAGTAACCAAGGGGAGATATCGTTGATTCGCTCCATAAATTTTCTTTCTCGTCCCTTTATTAGCTCACCCACAACGGTAGGCGCAAGCCAGATGGTCACGATAAATATCAAGTAACAAATAAACTGCGGCAGATGTTTCGAGTGGTATGCACGACCGGAACGGCCTGCGCCAGCTCGTAGCCGTACAGCGGTATCGCGAGTGTCACGATGTTATGCACGAGGAACCACCACGAGATTCGTTTCCAGGAATTTTTCACCGGCCGCGCGTACAACTGTACAAAAAACGAGACGGCATCGACTGACGAGTGCTTCCATTTGAGGAAAATATTTTCCATGATTTTCAAGCGAGCTGCATAACTACAATACAGCAGTGCTAAAGTCCAGAATAATGCAAGTCCCACACCGAGGTTATAAACAATTGAGAATGGTATAGAACAATACAAAATATTATCAAGTGGACCACGTATATGGGGCATTTCAGCTGAAAATCGTTCAGCCCCTTGGCCCCACAGTATATGTGTCGTTATGAATAGCGTGCAAAGCATTATGGAGAAAAACGTCATTGACATTATGACTGCAGCAATTAGGATTTTGAGCCTGCGATTCAGAGGTTTCGTGATTCCGGTCAGCGATCTCAAGGGCTTAAGTACATTTGTCTCCAGGTCCCTAGAAGCGAAGTAGTAGTTACCAAGGAAATGGCCTAACCATATAACTATCTCATGAACGATATATAGCAGTTCGATATTCAGCCATGTAGACTTCCCTGTGGCTCGTATTGAATTACGTATGGGTCCAGTAGTCAACAGCAGGAGGTTTACGAATGCAGGATAGACGTACTTTTCCAAGAAGCACGCTGATCGCGGTCGCCATAGTGACAGCAGGCGCAGGAGGATGCGGATCACTCGGAGGCCCTTGGAACTAAAGAGCAGAGTATCGGTGTTACGATCAGGTTCCTGGATGTCTACAGTGTCCATACTTATTGAGTGAATGAATATTCGTGGTTCATGCACGTCGGCGGTTTTTTTACTTCTGAAATACAAAGGAACAAAGAATGTTGAGCGTGGATAGTGATAAACATGCAGGATGACTGAATTGCTTGAAAAATACAACAAGAACACTCTTGCTCTGAAAGTAGCCTACTAATTTGTTGCCGTTCTGTTTTGTTACCGCGTCGTTCTTCAAAAGTTTCAACCTGGGCTGAAACCCCAGCCCGGTTGAAGCTACCCAGGCTGAAAATTCAGCCCGGTTGACTGGGTTAACAAATCGTCGCTCGTGACTGTTTGTGTAAGCAAGTTTCCCCAATGTGCGGTAGCGTTTTGAGCGATTTAAGCCACGCGTGCCTCAACATGTTGAATAATTTCAGTCACGAATGAACATTTCCTTCAGATGTGCGCGCTCGAAAAACTATCACCTTTCAATGTAGATCGAATAGACATGCATAATAAAACATAAGACAAAAGGAAAATAGTTAATGAGGAATGTAATACTTGAGTGACGACGTATGGATAGAGTTATGTCAACACGGCTCTTAGCCAATCAGCGTTCAGAATTCACAAATGCTATATTATAGAAATGTACAACAGCTTATTCAGTTTTGCAAAGTCTATACATATTTGGCCTGTCCACAAAACCTCAGCCTTAGTTTTACTGTTTATATAAAGCACGCATCTTTTATCTAAATTATTTGCCAAGTAAACACTGCGATATATACTGTTTAACTTAGGTAATAGTAGTACAAACTTTGTAAGTCCTTTGGTGTGCGCCGCAATTGCTCTCGATTGTGACGAGTAATAATACGACTATTAACATAATTAACGAAATCCAACTCGAACCCCTGCTATAACTCATTTTAAACGCCGATTTACATTACAAAACTTTTGCCTAAAACTGTCGCATGCAACCTGCTTACAACTTGAGTTGAGTTGTGTAAATCAAGCACACATGAACTCGCCTACGTTGTTGCAGGTGAGTTGTGTGTTTGATTTACACAGTACAATTAAAGTTGTAAGCAGGTTGCATGCGACAGTTTGGGCAAAAGTTGTGCAGTGTAAGTTGGCCTTAATACCATGCACACAGCTCGATTTATTTGTGTACATAACATAACTGGTCATGCGAAACGATGCTTAACTATACTCCTGTTTAAGAAAGATTTCGAAACACGGACTCTTCTAAACTCTAACTTTTAACTCAAGTCCTCTTCGGACTAACAGTAAAATGTGAGTGTAATTCTGCTGTTATAGTCTGAGTAAGTATTGAATTAAGACAATTGTCTTTCATTTGGAAAGCTTTTTATTCTGAAATCGTCATGCAGTTTGATTGTCGCCGCAGATTTGTGAAAAGAGTCTGTTATATAAACGCTTCACCAAATTCGTATTAGGTTTTTTCCGAGATTTTCCGGTTTCCTTCCACAGGAAATGTTTACAGGGTGAGTTGGGTAAATTCCAAATTGACTCTTCCATCGTATCTGTGTTCCGTGATCAGACATATATAGTGGTAGCCAGAGTCACCCTTAGTAAACGTTCGACTCGGGAAAGTTGAGTGTAGCTGTCAGCTTTAAGTAACGATGATTAGTACATCTCCCATTTACTAATTCACCTATATCAGATAAAACTATTTCTTGTACAGTACTTGTTCGCTTACACATCTTCCGTGGTTGTAATATACACAGGACGTATATCAATATTACACATCAAACACTCAGAGCACTTCTCGAAACTTCCAAACTTTGAAAGCTAAAATTTTATTTTCAACCATAACCCAACTCACCTATACCAAAACAGCAGAAAATGTTGTAGAAAATCAGCAGAAATCCTGAATATTATAGATGATAAATTTACTCGTAGAAAGTGAAAAATCTGGGTTTTAATCACACTGCGATATTGGCTTTCGCTTTTCCACTTTCGCTACGCTGTCATATGACACAAATTGCGGTATTTTCCCTTGCTGCCATGAGAAATTTACATATGTAGAATGGCGTCATTATCAACATGCACGCGTGAGTTTCAAACACAATTCGGGGTCTATGAAAGAACCCATGCATACATGTAGCAACTGCATTTGATGACAGTACAGCTGTAACAGCTGTTGTAAACCATCGCAATTTTCTAGAGGCTGTGAAACGTTTTACTGAGTTCTATCCAACCTTACAGGCTCATTTCAAAATAAAGTAATCAAGTTGGCAAAGAAACGCGAATTTTTTAATTTTTAACTTTTCTCAGCAAAACAAGTGTTGTAAAGATTTTCAAATTGATCGCAGAGATGTTAAAGGAGAGAATTGCCAAATGTGTACATGACGTTGGCTTATTTTCTGCAGAGATGGATTCTACTCCATTCTCGCTCCGGCCTAGAAGAGGACAAAGCGAGAGAAAAGCTATTGGGTCTTTAAAATGTGTCCGACTCAATAGCCCAAAGTCTCCACAATTTACTCGAGAAGTCTTTCGAAGGAGGTGTTTAACTCGATATGTGCATTGGAGATTCATTCGACGGAGCAGCGAATATGAGTGGTGTCTACAATGGCTTATAAGCTCTACTTAAACAAGTCCGTCCTAGCCATCTCCATATACCTGGTGTTATGCGCACGTCCTCAATTTGGTCATTGGTGATGCGTCCATCGTTTCCGTTCATGCAAGCTGTAAGTCTGTTTGGGCTACTGAATCAAATGGCAAATTTCTTCAAATGCGGTTTTGCCAAACCAGGTGATCCAGCCGAGCGAGAACTTTGAGAAATTGTTGGGCAGTTTCAATGACGACACCAAAGAACTATTCTCAGATCTGTTGATGATTCCACAACACGTCAAGGAAATACCGGATTTCGTATTCGTATTTGATATCTTTCAAAGTTTGGAAAATCTTTCAAAGTTTGAAACTGTGTTAGTGGCATTGATATATTCGAATCTTTAATATCACCACCCCAGTGTCGGATTATCTGCAGACATCTGGATTAGATTTTCTTCAAGCATGGAGAATGATTAGCGAAACCACGGACAAACTAAACAAGATCGCTAGAGGTTTTGCTGCTATCTACCAGCATGCGACAACATTTATCAATGGAGTTAATGATAAATTATCCGAAGAAGGCATTCGTTTTACAACCGACCTACCAGAAATTCGCGCAACTCGAGGAGCACCTATCGGGAGTGCAAAGTGCCGAAAAAAATTTTGAGATAAATTGTCATAATGTTATCCTGGAAGTAGTGATCCTAGGCATCAGCAACCGATTCTCTGATCACAAAGAACTATAGTGTATACGAGATTGCGTGCTTTGATCCTGACAGGTTTAAGGAAGTAAAAACACACTCAAAGATATAACATGAAAAACATTATTTTGACATATTGATAAAGACACAGATTGAGTTTTATTTTAATTTCTTTAACTAATATATGTGAACAAAGGCAAATGCTTTTAAATCTACTGTGGTAAACGAAACTTTCTTTTGAAACTTTAGGCTGTGGCTGTGTTTAATTTCGCGTCTCTGCATATAGGTTTGCCGAAAAGGTCTTTTATTTTTAAAAAAAATCCATACAATTTGCTTTAAAATGCAATGCTTTGACATGCAGTGCTTCAATCCACAGTAAAACCTCTATAATTCGTATTACATGAAGTATGTAATATACACGGCAAAAAAGATCATGTTGCAATATTGATGAAAACAGGAGTGAACAATGCTTTGTTGTCTACATTGTTCACAGTTGCCCACATTGTTCACAGTTACCCACATTGCATGTTCACAGTTGTCAACAATATTGAACAATATTGTTACAGCCGATTCAGGCTCACCAATATTGTTCAATATTCTTGACAATTGGGAACAACGTGGGTAGCAAAACATTGTTCAATCCTGTCAAACAGCGGGCTCGGCGTTTTTTTGTCGACGTCATGTATGTAATATATATCCCAAGGTTGTCAAGAAAATACAAACTTAAAACTGTATACAAAATCTAAATGACAAAAGAACTCGCACATAAACATCGAAATTCATTTAAAAAGCTAACTCACTGTGGTAAGACATAACTTTCATACTTCTACATTGTGTTTTTGTGTCCCTCATCACATTTAAACGAGTTAATAAAGCTCTCTGTCGAAAGTTTTTAAAATTTCAAAAATCTCTCTGATTGGCTGGCTGAAATTTCCTAGCGAATCAGAGAGTTTTATTCTGTGACGTAACGCCGGGAGCCGTCATCCCGCATAGTTTTGACCAAATTGAGTCACGAATTTGATGAATTCTTGTCGGAATTTTCGCAAAATTAACTCGTTTTAATGTGATGAGAGAACAAAAAAACACAATCTAGAAGTATTCAAGTTATGTCTTACCATAGTGAGTTAATTTTGTAAATGAATTTCGATGTTTAAGTACGAGTTTTTTTGTCATTTTGTTTTGGTATACAGTTTTGAATTTGTATTTTCTTGACAATCTTTACAATTTGCATATATTATTATATATAACAAAAACTATTTGAAACGTAGTCGGTAGTTCGTTGTCAAGCAAGAGAGCGAACTAGGACGACGACGACGACGTGGTTGACAACTTTTGCCTGTCTTGCACATTATCTTGCGCATTCTGAGTTTAGGGTCAGGAGTGAAGACAGATTAGAAATTTATGTCTAGCTGTTTGTGAATGTTGACTCAAATCCTTACCCTGATCAGGATAAAACAGCGAGACATGAATCCATATCCCGTCTTCGTTCTTCTGCCTTCGTTCACAACGAATATATTGGCAAAATTCGTTGTGAACTTCAATCGGTCTGCACGAAGGCAGAAGGACAAAGACGGGATATAGTTTCATGTCTCGCTGTTTTTTCTGGGTCAGGGCAAGAATTAGGGTCAGTATTCATAAACAGCGACACATGGGAAGACACGCTGAGCAATCACCAGTGACGTCCAACTCAGTATGCGCCAGATAATGTGCAGACGGCAAAAATTGTCAAGTACGTCTTCGTACTTCGTTGTCTTGCTCAAACTCTCTATCAATGGCGTCAGCGAGTCAATATGATTCTCGTAGTCATAGTAATATGGCGCAAACGCGTTCAAATTTTTTTATATTGACTCTTTAATTTGACGTCATTTTGCTAATATGAATGTGAAAAATCCATATTTGGTTAGCCATTGAGTTGATATGACAATTTCACAGTTGGCTGTTAGCCAAGCAGAAATAATAATGAACATTATTGTTGAGCCTGAATCGAGTGTAACAATATTGTTCAATATTGTTGACAACTGTGAACAATGTGGGCAGCAAAGCATTGTTCAATCCTGTTTTCATAAATATTGCAACAACCTGAGCGTTTTTTGCCGTCTAATGATGCAAACGCTATACACTGTGTTACACGTACTTCATGTGATACGAATTATAGACGTTTTACTGTAGATTGAAGCATTGTATGTCAAAGCATTGCATTTTAAAGCAAATTGTGTGGATTTTTTAAAAATATAAAAAACCTTTTCGGGATACCAGAGAAGCAAATATTGAAAATATATAAAGATACTCTGTCTGCACCGGAAAATTTAAATAAAAAATACTACTTAGCACAAAAGAGGGATAGAAATCCCTACTGTGTACAGTCGGTGCCGTAGCTTATTCATTTGTTTCAAACTGTGGTTTTTTTACACAAATCCATCATCGTCCCCAAGGTCACACAAACAACGGAGCGACCCGTTGTTTGTACTTTATAAAAAAGTGGCTCCCGAAATGCTACACTTGTTCGACAGGTTTTTCTTGCGCTGGTGATAATAGCAAGGCTTACCAAAGCTGCTACGTTTGTGTTATGCTTGCTAAATTCATCCATAACTCTAATATGAAGAAATTATTTTCACTTCTCTTAACTCATTGACTGGCAATGCGCCCGAATGTTTCCTATTTTATTCTTTTACTTTGTTTACAGCCAGTCGTTCCTACTTGTCCTACTTATCAAAGGGCGAGTCTTGACAAGTTTATCTGCCAATTTCTCTTGTTAACCCATGGACTAGTAATGCACCTGCATGAATGCTTCCTATTTCGTTTTTATTCTGTTTAACGCCAAGCGACTTTATAATTGACAAGAAGCGAGCTTTTCGACTTACGAGAAAAGAAAGAAACTGAAATAAACATGCAATTCATGTATTCTCAAGATGTCTTAATTGTCTATTTGGGATGATTTGTTTTTTACTTTACTTTTTTAAATTGTCGGCTGGTCATGGTTTTTAAATAGCTACACTTACTTTGGCTATAGGAGTATAGCAAAATGTTGGTTTCGTATCAAAGGTCCACCTTTCACAAATACACTTGCTGATGAAGCATCGAGATTCAGAGTATATATTATATATATATATATCAGTTTACAACCAGTTTTATTACAGAAGATTTACTGCGGCTATGCGATATAGAAATTATTGATTTCAAGAATTTTGTAGTATCACCCGAAGTCGAAGAGTAGGAAATTTTTTCCATGATCTGAGGAATAAATTACTTGAATCTTTTACTGAATACCAGAGCAGATTCAACAAGGTGGAAACAATGGCAAGTTAGGGTCTTTATTAATAAACTAAAAATATATTTTGGATTTGAAAAATATCTTTCTGAAATTCACAATATCAAACACCGTCAAGCTGTAACATAAAGTGATAGAATTTGCAAACATTGCAATATCAACGAAGTCGGAAATGAACAACACTTCTTAATGTCATGTGCAAACACAAAGTTTATTGAAATTAGAAAAACCTTTATTGAAAATCTATATAAAGTAAATAACTCTTTTAAATCGTTTATACTCTACAATTCCTGCATGTTTATATGTCAGATGGCAATACAGGACAAATCATGGGAAATTTTGGAAAGTTTGTTAGATATATAATTAACGTTATTCGATATAGTTTGAACTAATAATATAATCTATGAATTAAGGCAATTAATGTCAGTTACACATATGTTACGTCGCAGTTATAAAAATATAGTGTCTTTTTTGTACTTCTTACATACCAGATTTGGTATTTTGTTGTTGATAATTAAGTATTTAATTTAATTTTTGATAATTAACCATTTTGTGATCATCAAAGTTTAGCCTGTTATAATTAACGTCTGTCTTTGGAGGTAATTTATAGCCCGTGTTTAGATCAGTGTAATGCATTTCACGCCCAACGTGCCAATATCCAATCGATTGTGGAGGAGACGCAGTTACAATATCTTTCTTGTATGTCACTCTTAGATTCAATCCGTTCATAGTGTTGTCAACATACTTAGAGAACTGTTTGTTTCCAACCCTAGGTGAGCCATAGGTTATCAAATCGGTCTTATATCCAGCCTTGGCCAATTCAACAGCGGCTAAAGTTGCCATTGCTCCACCAAGCGAGTGACCTGTGACGATCACTTTTGAGTTGGGATGTGCATGAGATAAAGCGCTGACTTTTGCCAACAGATGCATTTGTACCGAGTTGTAAAATTTGGAAAATCCAGTATGTACTTTGCAGCCTTTGCAGCTTTGGTAATCGCGTTTCAGGAACTTTGCATTATTAATCCAACCTTTCGTGTCGACTGTACCACGGAACGATACAATGATCGCTTTGCCCTTATATTTAACAAAACCATGGACTCTTTTGTTACTATCAATCAACCTCAAGCCATTGAAAGCAGAATCATTTATGTTCTGGTAAGCCTCTGCTGCATACTTTGCGACATTGTGAATTTTACTTTTCAGCAGAGTATCGTTGTTCGGTGCAATAGGTAAGCTTGAACGACTTGGGCAAAAGTTACCTGATGGGCAAGAAAAGCATTTCAGTGATTCTGCGGGAGAGTACATCCCTTTCCAGCACAGTTGAGGTATCGTGTTGACAAAAGGGCATTTGCTTCCCGCAGGACAACTTTCACATTTAGTTGAGCCAGTTTGGACGTTATATTGTCCGCCTTTGCACCATTTACAAGATGTTTGACCAGGAAGATCTTGATACTGTCCTTTAGAACATTTTATTGGTGGAATGCTTACATAATAACAACGATGACCAACGGGACAAATATCACACTTTGTTGATCGTCCACTTTCAAGGCTGTATTCACCGGCGCTGCACTGTTTGCAAGATCTTTGTCCTGTCTGGTTTTGATAGTATCCTTTAGAACATTTTATTGGTGGTTCGTTTACATAATAACAACGATGACCAACGGGACAAATATCACACTTTGTTGATCGTCCAATTTCAAGGCTGTATTCACCGGCGCTGCACTGTTTGCAAGATCTTTGTCCTGTCTGGTTTTGATAGTATCCTTTAGAACATTTTATTGGTGCATTGTCTATATAAAAACAACGATGACCAACGGGACAAATATCACACTTTGTTGATCGTCCAATTTCAAGGCTGTATTCACCGGCGCTGCACTGTTTGCAAGATCTTTGTCCTGTCTGGTTTTGATAGTATCCTTTAGAACATTTTATTGGTGCATTGTCTATATAAAAACAACGATGACCAACGGGACAAATATCACACTTTGTTGATCGTCCAATTTCAAGGCTGTATTCACCGGCGCTGCACTGTTTGCAAGATCTTTGTCCTGTCTGGTTTTGATAGTATCCTTTAGAACATTTTATTGGTGCATTGTCTATATAAAAACAACGATGACCAACGGGACAAATATCACACTTTGTTGATCGTCCAATTTCAAGGCTGTATTCACCGGCGCTGCACTGTTTGCAAGATCTTTGTCCTGTCTGGTTTTGATAGTATCCTTTAGAACATTTTATTGGTGCATTGTCTATATAAAAACAACGATGACCAACGGGACAAATATCACACTTTGTTGATCGTCCAATTTCAAGGCTGTATTCACCGGCGCTGCACTGTTTGCAAGATCTTTGTCCTGTCTGGTTTTGATAGTATCCTTTAGAACATTTTATTGGTGCATCGTCTATATAAAGACAACGATGACCAACGGGACAAATATCACACTTTGTTGATCGTCCAATTTCAAGGCTGTATTCACCGGCGTTGCACCATTTACAAGATGTTTGACCAGGAAGATCTTGATACTCTCCTTTAGAACATTTTATTGGTGCATCGTCTATATAAAAACAACGATGACCAACGGGACAAATATCACACTTTGTTGATCGTCCAGTTTGAATGTTGTATTCACCGGCATTGCACTTTTTGCAAAATTTTTGTCCCGTCTGGTTTTGGTAGTATCCTTTAGAACATTGTACTGGTGCGTTGTACACATAATAACATCTGTGACTGGCTGGGCATATTTTGCAAGATGTACTGCCTGGGTTTTCCGCATAATAGCCTGACTTGCACCGTACCCTGCTATTATCACCAGCACAAGAAAAACCTGCCTGACAAGTGTAGCATTTGGTACGATGTGACAAGAGGTATGATCCAGCAGGACAACTCAAAGAATAAGTTTGTTTGATAAGAATCAAACATAGCAGTAATACGCGAAACTTCATTGTTTATTGCAGCCGTCAAGTATAGTATATGGAATGACTACTTAAGCGCTTGTAGCCTTATATATACAATGGGGTCATCGCACGGTTTGCGTCATCCTCGCCACAGGGTCACTCGTTGTTTGTCTTCTAATCAGAAAAGCTTGAGCAGAGTAGTCGATATACAGCTGCGCCATATTGTGAAGTCGTATTGATATAATAATTTATTTTACTGTACTTTCCAACTCCAACTCATATTTAAAAGGTAAATAAACATTGTTTAAAACCTCATCAAATATAGTTTGTGTTGTGGCACAACCGTTGTGGTTGTTGGCAAAAAGACGATCCCGTTTACTTGTTGCGAGGCCTTCGTGCAGAGCTAGTCCGAAGAACGATAATAAGTATAAAGTCAATCGTTACAACCGCGGGATGCGGGCATGCTGAAAGCCATGTAGGTTAAAAGATGAGATCGTTGTGAAATTGAGTCATGGTGTTGGTCGAAAAAACCATCGAGAAACCTAAAAAAATTCCAAGCATGCCGAAAGAAGAGACAAGCTTCGTATGACGACGCGTTTTATGGAAAAGTCAGAGGAATTGGAAAGATAATTTATCAGAAAATCAAGCGAAGAACAAAGAACGTAATCGTGGAGCCTGGAGGTGAATCGAATTTAAATAATTTTATTGTCGAACAAAGCTCGAGATGAACTGAAAAATCTGAACAGGAAAAATATTTGGAATTTGTGATAGAAACTTTTGATGACATATACCAGAGTCGAAAAGAAGCCAACGATAGATTACTTAAAAATATTTGGAAAGGCTCGTTGTGCTATTAAGTAATATTTCAAATCCAACTATGAGGACTGGACTAGATTTCAAGTCCACACAATTTGATCACGTCCGAGGCGAAGGCGAGGATTGGATCAAAATGTGAGGACTTGAAATCTAGTCCAGTCCGAATTGGAGGATTTGAAATGACATCTCATGCGAATAAATCACTACTTAATTCGTTTGGATCCAGTCCTAGGACTGAATCAATGTACTTCATCAGGTATCCAGTATTATCGGAGCTATAACTGTCTCGTCTAACCTCACGGTTATTACAGTTGGCTTGCACCTTATTCTGAATACTGTAGTCTTTCTTTTTCTTTTTGTAAATCAAGGTGCTAAATAAATTATTATTATTATCATGTGAGCAAAATAAAGCAATCTGGTTGGCTAATTTTTACCCATGAATTACTGAATGAAAGGACAATATTTGTAAATCGGGATTTCGAGTATAATGGCCCGCTATAGCGCTCGATCAGTTTTTTTGATAACCACTTTTTCTGGTTTTCTTTTGTATTTTCCTAGGTATACGGACCATAGATATCTTATATACACTAGATAGTGCATCTAATTATTCTGCAATTCAAAAATTGAAGCCGTGATTGCAGTCTCAGGTCGTTCCCATGAAATGAGAAGATTCGTATGTTTTCTATTTCTTAAACAGGGAACTTAAACATTAAGCTAACCCTATTCCAAGTACATTTTTAAACTATTCAAATGATGAAAGTTATTGTTGTTTTTAAGCGTTTATTAGCAAGTGGGAACGACCAACATGGCCGCCATCTATTCAAATGGGGGTAACCGCTGGAATATTCTTGGCTTCAATTTTATTAAAAGAGATGCGCTATCTAGTGTATATAAGATATCTATGATACGGACCTAAACGTACCGCAACCCAACTTTTTTTCTTTTTCGAAAAGTTTCCACTCAAGCTTTGGCAACTCTGGATCTTTTTTGCCTTTCTTTTCAGACTTGTTGGGATCTTAAAGCTCGCTGCTGTTTTGTCCCATTTTGGTCATATTTTGGCGCGAAATTATGGTCGTATAGTCCGCGTTTTACTAATAAAGTCCAGTCCGCGTTTTACTAATAGAGTCCAGTCCGCGTTTTACTAATAGAGTCCAGTCCGCGTTTTACTAATAGAGTCTAACAAATTTACTAATCGAGTTTGTCCAAAAACGCGCATTACGGATTATCCTTCCCTCTCTTGCTTACGAAGATGCTTTGACGCGGTCCGGTCTAGAAACTTTAGCAAGTCGCCGATCAAATGCTTGCCGATTGTTTATTGAGGAAATGAAGTTTGACGATCAACCAAATAACCCTATTTGCTCCTATTGCTTACATTCTGAGGCACAATATTCATAATGAACGTGAACATAGTTATAATTTAAGACACGAGGGACTAAATAGAGTAAGAGCACGTACAGAACGTTTCTCTCAGTTTATTACTTGCAAATATTATTGATGTTTTTAGTCAATGTAGGTTTTTTTATTATTTTATTTATTATTGTTAATAGATATTTTTATATTTGTGATATTTCTAGAAGCTCATTACCATAGCTAGTTTAAGCGTGTAATTCAGTTTTGTAACTGCAAAGCGTCTTATTAAACTATTTATTATTATTATTATTAGAGTCCAGTCCGCGTTTTACTAATAGAGTCCAGTCCGCGTTTTACCAGTCCAGTCCGCGTTTTACCATATGCCGATTCTCGACATGAATTCTGATTCTGGCTAATACTTTTGGCCGATTCTCGACATGAAATCTAATTCCCGAACACTTTTGGCCGATTCTCGACATGAATTCTGATTCTCGAATACTTTTGGCCGAAACGGCGCACCATATAGATAGGAATCCCTACTGTGTACAATCGGTGCCGTGGCTTATTCATTTGTTTCAAACTGTGGTTTTTTGACAAAAACCATCATCGTCCCCAAGGTCACACAAACAACCGAGTGACCCTGTGGCGAGGATGACGCAAATCATGCGATGACCCCCCCCCCCCGGCCACCCCTCCCCCCACCACCACCATTGTACAAGGCTGCAAGGTAGCTACAGTCAGTCCATACCGTACTTGACTGCAATATAACGATGACGTTTCGCTCTTTTCTGCTTTGTTTGTTAAACAAGATTATTCTTTGAAGATTATTCTCTGTCCTGTTGGAACATACTTCTCGTCATATGATAACAAATGCTACACTTAAATCTTTAATGTAATCACAAATATGTCAAATTACACATATCCTTGTTGTGTATCGTATAGCCTCATTTCTGATGATGACTTCATGAAATTTAGTCGAAAGCTAGAGATAGAAAATGTTTATATTCGGAGTTATTAGGGCCATTTATACGGGACAAAATAAGTCGCGACTTACATAAGACGCGTCTTATATAAGCGGAGTTATCGCATAAATGGTTCTCTACGGCTTTATTCTTATTTACTCGCTAGCTATAATGTTGTTTCGGTTGTTTTTGTTTTAGTATGCAAGGCTAATAATTTTACGTTGTTTCAAGTTTCGGGCATGCATGTGTAGTTAGAATTTTTGTCTAAAATTTCTTATTTAAGACGCGACTTAAATAAGAACAGCTAAAAGTCCTGTTCTTATGTAAGACGCGTCTTACATAAGAATTTTGTACCTTTTATACGACAAACTCGCGTCTTATTTAAGTCGCGTCTTATGTAAGTCGCGTCTTATTTTGTCCCGTATAAATGGCCCTATTGTTGTTTTCGACTTTATACTTGACACGAAGCGAGTTTTTCGACTTGATGCAGAGAAAAGAAAGAAACTGAAACAAATAGTTCACGAATAGAAACTGATACAAATAATTCATGTATTCTCAAGATGTCTTGTCTATTCGGGATTTGTTTTTTACTTTACTTTTTTAAATTGTTTGCTGGTCATGGTTTTTAAATTGCTACACTTATAGCAAAATGTTGGTTTCGTATCAAAAGTCCACTTTTCACAGATACATTTGCTGACGAAGCAGCGAGAGTATAGATCTCAATTTACAACCAGTTTTATTTACAAGATATTTACTGCAGGCTGCAGCTATGCAATATAGAAATTATTGATTTCAAGAATTTTGTAATACCACCCGAAGACCAGGAAAATTTTTGGCCATTTTCTGAGGAATAAATTACTTGAATCTTTTACTGAATACTGGAAAGGGCAGATTCAACATTGTGGAAACAATGCCAAGTTAAGGGGTCTTTATTAATAAACTAAAAATATAGTTTGGATTTGAAAAATATCTTTCTGAAATTCACAATATCAAACACCGTCAAGCTGTAACAAAGTTAAGAATTTCATTTCATAGGTTACCTGTTGAAACTGGTCGATACATGCAGCCAATGTTGCACTATAGTGATAGAATTTGCAAACATTGCAATATCAACGAAGTCGGAAATGAACAACACTTCTTAATGTCGTGCATGTACAAACCCAAAGTTTATTGAAATTAGAAAAACCTTTATTGAAAATCTATGCATGTAAAGTAAATAACTCTTTCAAATTGTTTACTCTACATTTTCTGTTTATATATATATATATATATATATCATGGCAATGCAGGACAAATCAATTTTGAAATCTGTAGGGAAATTTTGTTTCGATATATTAACTTTATTCGATAGTTTAAACTGATAGTATGATTTATGAATTAAGGGAATTAATGTCAGTTACACATATGTTACGTGCGTATAATAGCTTCTTATATACCAGATTTGGTACTTTGTTGTTGATAATTAAGTATTTAGTTCAATTTTTCATAATTAACCATTTTGTGATCACCAAAGTTTAGCCTGTTATAATTAACGTCTATCTTTGGAGGTAATTTATATCCCGTGTTTAGATCAGTGTAATGCATTTCCCGCCCAACGTGCCAATATCCAATCGATTGTGGAGGAGACGCAGTTACAATATCTTTCTTGTATGTCACTCTTAGATTCAATCCGTTCATTGTTTTGTCAACATACTCAGAAAACTGTTTGTTTCCAACCCTAGGCGAGCCATAGGTTATCAAATCGGTATTATATCCAGCCTTGGCCAGTTCAACAGCGGCTAAAGTTGCCAGTGCTCCACCAAGCGAGTGACCTGTGACGATCACTTTTGAGTTGGGATGTGCATGAGAGAAAGCGCTCACTTTTGCCAACAGCTGCATTTGTACCGAGTTGTAAAATGTGGAAAATCCAGTATGTACTTTGCAGCCTTTGCAGCTTTGGTAATCGCGTTTCAGGAACTTTGCATTATTAATCCAACCTTTCGTGTCGACTGTACCACGGAACGATACAATGATCGTTTTGCCTTTATATTTAACAAAGCCATGGACTTTATTGTCACTATCGATCAACCTCAAGCTATTCAAAGCAGAATCATTTTTGTTCTGGTAAGCCTCGGCTGCATACTTTGCGACATTGTGAATTTTACTTTTCAGCAGAGTGTCGTTGTTCGGTGCAATAGGTAAGCTTGAAGGACTTGGGCAAAAGGTACCTGATGGGCAAGGAGAGCATTTCAAGGATTCTGCGGAAGAGTACTTCCCTTCCCCGCATGGTTGTGGTATCTTGTCGGCATTAGGGCATTTGCTTCCCGCAGGACAACTTTCACATGTAGTTGAGCCAGTTTGGAGGTTATATTGTCCGCCTTTGCACCGTTTACAAGATGTTTGACCAGGAAGATCTTGGTAGTATCCTTTAGAACATTTTGCTGGTTCACGGTTTCTGTACCAACAAGCATGACCAACGGGACAAATATCACACTTTGTTGATCGTCCAGTTTGAATGTTGTATTCACCGGAACTGCATCGTTTACAAGATGTTTTACCAGGAAAATCTTGGTAGTATCCTTTAGAACATTTTCCTGGTTCTCGGTTTCTATACCAACAAGCATGACCAGCGGGACAAATATCACACTTTGTTGATCGTCCAGTTTGAATGCTGTATTCACCGGAACTGCACCGTTTACAAGATATTTGACCAGGAAGATCTTGGTAGTATCCTTTAGAACATTTTACTGGTTCTTGGCCTATATACCAACAACCATGACCAACGGGACAAATATCACACTTTGTTGATCGTCCAGTTTGAATGTTGTATTCACCGGAACTGCACCGTTTACAAGATATTTGACCAGGAAGATCTTGGTAGTATCCTTTAGAACATTTTACTGGTTCTTGGCCTATATACCAACAACCATGACCAACGGGACAAATATCACACTTTGTTGATCGTCCAGTTTGAATGTTGTATTCACCGGAACTGCATCGTTTACAAGATGTTTTGCCAGGAAGATCTTGGTAGTATCCTTTAGAACATTTTACTGGTGCTCCGTCTATATACCAACAACCATGACCAACGGGACAAATATCACACTTTGTTGATCGTCCAGTTTGAATGTTGTATTCACCGGAACTGCATCGTTTGCAAGATCCTTGTCCTGTCTGGTCTTGATAGTATCCTTTAGAACATTCTACTGGTGCGTCGTCTGTATAATAACATTTGTGACCGGCTGGGCATATTTTGCAAGATGTACTGCCTGGGTTTTCCGCATAATAGCCTGACTTGCACCGTACCCTGCTATTATCACCAACGCAAGAAGAACCTGCCGGACAGGTGTAGCATTTGTTACTATATGACGAGAAGTATGATCCAGCAGGACAACTCAAAGAAAAAGCTTGTTTGATAAGAATCAAACATAGCAGCAACGCGCGAAACTTCATTGTTGTATTGCAGTCAAGTACAGTATGGAATGACTACTTAAGCGCTTCGTTGTTTGCCTTCTAATCAGAAAAGCTTTTAGCGGAGTTGTCGTTATATATACAGCTGCGCCATTGTGTAATAGTTTATGTTAATCGTGATGTCACTCATAACTAAGTCGTATATTACGAAATTCACCGAACTGTGGAATCGCATCAAAAATTCGTATCTCCGCCACTCTCACAAACGTCTACGACCGCACCTACATATTTCTGCATGTTTACAATTCTAATTTTAAGCAACCAATCAACGTTTAATTGTAATTGTTACCAAGAACCGGATTGGCTGTTCAAAATTAGAATTGTAAACATGCAAAACTATGTAGGTGCGGTCGTAGACGTTTGTGGGAGTGGCCGATATACGAATTTTTTATGCAATTCCACAGTTCGTTGACTTTCGTAATAGATAAAATCATTTATTTTATTGTGTTAAAGCCAGTCTTGGTCAGGGAGTGTTTGGAGATCCGACTTCCCAGCTGCCACGCATATTTTAAAGTTTAGAGATATAGATTTAACTGTCCTTTCAAATTAGAGAAACGAAATTTTTGTTGCAATTGTCCTTTAAATTTAAATCTGCACGAATCATCATTTTCATTTTAATTAATTTTTAAGGCTTATGTTTGTTGTTTGTTACTTCTGTGTAAACTATACTTGTATACAGAAAAGTTTCTAATCAGAAAAGCTTTTAGCGGAATTGTCGTTATATATACAGCTGCGCCATTGTGAACCTAAGTCGTATAGATATAATAATTTATTTTACTGTGTGGAAATTCTACTTCCCAGCTCCAACTCGCATCATTAAAAGTTACATAAACATTGTTTAAAACCTCATCAAGTATATAGTTTATGTCCACGTGACACAACCGTTCTGGTTGGCAGCCAAAGACGATCCCATTTATACTTGTTACGAGGCTCTCGGCTCGATTTTTATTTCACCCGCAAAGCCACTCACGCCCGATTTGAAAGTTACCCGTAAGTACGGTGTATGCTGTACACGTCATGCGTAGCTACGCTCACTATTCCGTACGTGCGCGCGGCACATTGATCATGACGTCATACATGTCAATTTACTTCCGGCAGGAATCCTGTATGCGCAAAGTGATTACTTACGTCTGTATACCGGTATGGGGGTGGGAGGGGGGGGGGGGGGGGGGGGGGGGGGGGGGGGTTACTTACTGTCTTAGTCAAACGAGAACAAGAGTGGTATGTGAGTTGATTGGGTGTTATCACGCGTATCGGTAAAACGAGTTGGCGAGAGTTAGTGGTCACGCAAGGGAGAGTCACAGCTCTCATGTGCTCTTGTCCCTCTTTGACTAGGGATTAAGTTGGAACAAGTTTCTTTTTCTAACTGGTATTAATATTATTTTCTATACAGAGAGTGGAACATGGAATCGTTAATCAGATATATAAAGGTGATTGGAGGTACCCCTGGTAAAGAAGGTCTCCTGGTCGGCTTGAAAAATGGACAGGTAGGATTTCATCATTTAAGAGGTGTGCGGAGCATTTTTCAAGTTACGTAGAGACGTTTTCTTGACAGTATAGGAATGTGCCTGATTTCAGTAAAAATCTCTCATAAATATTCTAGCTTCAAAATTAATTCCCTGAATCGGAAAGGATATTTTGTCCAGTCCTATTCTGAGATCAGTGCACTGCATGAAGCATAATTTTCGTCATCTGCTTGTTGTCTTAACGTTAATGTAAATTTGCAATTCTAGGGATGTCAGACGTACAATTTAGTTGCATGGGTGGTCGCCTTTGTGCCTCCCCCTCACACCCAGTGCCCGCCATTCCTTACCATATTTTTTTTCGTAGATCTTAAAAATATTCACAAATAATCCATTTCCAATCCTGCTATTGAAACAACAAACCAGTGTTCGCTGTCTGGACTTAAGCTGCAGGTACTGTTCGACAAAAGTATGTGTTCTCTTTAGAGCTCCAGAGAAAGAAAATTTTGTAAAATGTGATTGGCCAACACAAATTTTCCGTCGGAAAGTTTTAAAAATTTTCTGTCCGTGGAAAATTTTGCTTGAATGGAAATGGGCCTTTCTATCCAACGGGATGCCCCAAAATCTTGATGTTTACCACACAATAACATATTCAATTTATTTTCAGCCGAACTAAGATAGCAGTCGTAGATGAGAACAACACGTGTCTTGTGTACAACTTGAAGAACAAAGAACTTTTGTTCCAAGAGCCTGGTGCTAATAGCGTGGCCTGGAATACTCATAATGAGGTTGGTTAAGTTAAAGTTATCCAGTATAAAGATTAATGCCCAGCATAACGTACGCAAAAAAGCCATATAGACAATAATATAGACATAAAATTTATTTAAGAAGTACTAACGTTTCGTCTTTAACCTAAGACATCTTCAGAGTAAATGAATATAGTATGCAATGAGTTACAAATATGAATAAATTACTATTTACAATATTCCTATTACCTCCGCATATTCCTATTACCTCCGCATATTCCTATTACCTTGTAATTTGATATTGTAAATAGTAATTTATTCATATTTGTAACTCATTGTCATACTATATTCATTTACTCTGAAGATGTCTTAGGTTAAAGACGAAACGTTAGTACTTCTTAAATAAATTTTATGTCTATATTATTGTATATATGGCTCTTTTGCGTACGTTATGCTGGGCATTAATCTTTATACTACGATTACGATTCCCGCCTGGTTCATCACTTGCAAGTAAAGTTATCCACATATACAGTTTGCCGAAAACAGGCGTATCTTATAGCCACAAACCCTGGCTATAAGGTATGTCGAAAGCAGGCGTAATAAAGTAACCCAATAAGTCACTGCGTTTTTATGTAACTATTTTCCATAAACCGCTGTAGTTCATACCTCCAGATACGGCTGAGGTGGGAGTTTATAGCAAACAAATACCAAAGAAACACTTGCCTCGGTGACGTGAAGATATGTCAAATCAAACTTGTTTTTGACAAAAAAACTTCTTTTCTAGGACATGTTATGTTATTCTGGTAATGGCATTCTGAACATAAAAGCCAGTAATTTTCCAGTACATCAACAAAAATTACAGGTATTGATGAGAAAAGATGTGCATGAAATAGTTTGCATGATTTGTGAGGTGCAGATCTAGTGTATCCACTATAAAAGCAACTTCAGTTTTTGGTTTATTGATATTGGTGTATCTTTGTAACACAACATGTGATAACATTTTTCCTTTAGGGTTTTGTTGTGGGCTTCAGTGGATCAAAGATCTTCTGTCTTCATGTTTATGCAATGACTGCTGTTGAAGTTCCGCAGGTTAGATATTTTCTTACGACTGTTCGTCAAATTAATTGCCATGCATCTTTGTTGCGCCACCCCTCCCTCCGATGAGATTACACCCCCCCCCCCAACTGAAATTAAAATAACATAATTTGTGATTCTAACTCTCATGCATACTCTTGCTAGTCAACTCTCCTCGTCGTTTGAGCAGGGCTTAAGGATGTTTCTTGTTTGTCCCAATACTAGATTAAGCCTTGATTTTATACTGAGTAAGTTGTACGGGAATAAATCTGATGTGGTTTTATTCTTTACAATATCTAGTCTGCATCTATGTATCAATATCTGGAAACGAAGCAGTACAAGGAAGCTTATAAAGTCGCGTGCTTAGGAGTCACTGACGGGGACTGGAGAGCACTTGCTATGGAAGCTATGGAGGTAATGATGGTTCCCTGGCCGGATGTTGGGAAGGGGAAGTGGGGGAAAGTGCACACCTTTCCTGAGATAGTTTTGCACCTCCCCTGAGATTGTTGGCACCTCAAAGGTTGAATGATAAATCAAAGTGAAAATTTGACGAATTTTAGTGAAAATAAATTTGATAATTTTTTATACATTGCTTACATTTTGTAAGAAAGTTTTTCTATAAAATTGAAAAAAACTGATAGCCATTCATCTCTATGTCAAGTACCCTTTAAATGAAATGTTTCGAAATAAATTTTGTTGTAATGTGATTAAGGACAAAATTGGATGAGTCGTACAACCATGATTCATGAATTCACGGATACATATATAAAGGGAAGAGGTTATTTCGCTGGCCTCAGAGTGACAAAACGTAACAAAGCAACGGTTTTACTAACACTAACCCTACTCCAAACACCAACTCTAACCCTAATCCTTACCCTAATCCTTGCCTTAACCCTAACCTAACCCTACTCCAAGTTTGTTTCTAAACCAATCGTGAAGAAAATTTTTTTGACGAAATGTTATTCTGAGGTCAGCGAAATAACTTTTTCCACGTTCTAAGTCCTAGCGAATCATGGGGGCTCCCCCAAATATTTTATCCTCCTCCTCCATTTCCACCAAATTTCTAATTTTAATTCCGTAACCTTACTTTGCTTTTTCTCAAGGGTTTGAACTTTGATATTGCGAAGAAGGTAAGACCTTAATAACACAATTCATAGCCGTGAATATTTTTGTATGGGCTCGCAAAATCTTCATACAACAAAGTCACTGCGTTTGAGGCAGGTCAGACGAAAAATTTGGTTGCCATCAATGTGCTGGAAAAGAGATTTAGTAGCCCAACAGAGGCTTTCATTGTTTGTTCTGAGGAGTTGGGCAAGCAATTTTGTGCTTGGCCTCTATATTTCTTATCTTTATATAATTCTTAAACCTTTCTTGTTATTTTAGGCTTTTACAAGAGTTCGTGATCTCAAATATTTGGAGCTTCTTCAAAATATCGAGGTTTGTATTTGCAGAGCACAATAATGATTCTTATTAAGGATGGTTTACACTATCAAAGTTTCTGTGATCACAGTAGGAATTTTGCATTAGTAAATTCTTCTAAGTCCTAAACATTTCTTACAAATCCTTCAAAACTTAATATTTACCTATGCAAAATTTCTACTGTGATCACAGAAATTTTGTTAGTGTGAACCATCCTTTAGTGGAAGTGCTGCAATTGTATTTGAACATAATAATGATTCTTAAGTATCTTTTCCACATCAACCGTATCGTAGCGAAGCGCAGCGTATTTCTTTGTTTTCTGAACACCAGAGTGGAACCAATGACTTCGGCACAAAAGAAAATGCTACGCCTTTAGTGTGAAGATTGCACCAACATATTTAATACCAAATGTTTTATTCACCCAGCTTTTATCAACTTTATTTTCAGGAGAGGAAAAAGCGAGGTGAAACAGAAAGCTTGGCGTTTCTAGCAGACATCTATGCTTATCAGGGGAAATTTCAAGAGGCCGCGAAACTTTACAAGAAGACTGGTAATGAGGAAAAGGTACCTTACCAAAAATTAAAACGCCGTATAAGCAGCAAGTTCGTTTTGAGATTTGCTAAAATCTATCACTTTACCTTCTTTTTAGGCTTTGTCGATGTTCTCCGATCTTCGTCAGTTTGAATATGCAAAGGTAACTTTAAGTCTTGTTTGCTCCATCAAAGTTTCTGTGATCACAGTAGGAATTTTGCAAAGGTAAATTCTAAGTTTTGAAGGATTTGTAAGAAATGTTTGAGGAAACTTACTGAGTGTTATAAAGGATGGTTTACACTATCAAAGTTTCTGTGATCACAGTAGGAATTTTGCAAAGGTAAATTCTAAGTTTTGAAGGATTTGTAAGAAATGTTGAGGAAACTTACTGAGTGTTATAAAGGATGGTTTAGACTATCAAAGTTTCTGTGATCACAGTAGGAATTTTGCAAAGGTAAATTCTAAGTTTTGAAAGATTTGTAAGAAATGTTTGAGGAAACTTACTGAGTGTTATAAAGGATGGTTTAGGCTATCAAAGTTTCTGTGATCACAGTAGGAATTTTGCATGGGTAAATTCTAAGTTTTGAAAGATTTGTAAGAAATGTTTGAGGAAACTTACTGAGTGTTATAAAGGATGGTTTAGGCTATCAAAGTTTCTGTGATCACAGTAGGAATTTTGCATGGGTAAATTCTAAGTTTTGAAAGATTTGTAAGAAATGTTTGAGGAAACTTACTGAGTGTTATAAAGGATGGTTTAGACTATCAAAGTTTCTGTGATCACAGTAGGAATTTTGCATGGGTAAATTCTAAGTTTTGAAAGATTTGTAAGAAATGTTTGAGGAAACTTACTGAGTGTTATAAAGGATGGTTTAGACTATCAAAGTTTCTGTGATCACAGTAGGAAATTTGCATAGGTAAATTCTAAGTTTTGAAGGATTTGTAAGAAATGTTTGAGGAAACTTACTGAGTGTTATAAAGGATGGTTTAGGCTATCAAAGTTTCTGTGATCACAGTAGGAAATTTGCATCAGTAAATTCTAAGTTTTGAAAGATTTGTAAGAAATGTTTGAGGAAACTTACTGAGTGTTATAAAGGATGGTTTAGACTATCAAAGTTTCTGTGATCACAGTAGGAAATTTGCATCAGTAAATTCTAAGTTTTGAAGGATTTGTAAGAAATGTTTGAGGGTACTGTTTCAGTGTTAAACACCGAGTCTATCTAGTCAGTTCCCTCAAAAATTTCTTACAAATCCTTCCAAACCGATGCAAAATTCCTACTGTGGTAACAGAAACTTTGATAGTGTACACCAGGCTTAAGTACAGGATATAGGAATTGGTAAGTTCAATATACTGACAAATTGGAGGCTCTGTTTCCGGGTGTGAGCTGAGTTGGGCTCATGGTCTTAGCTAGGATTTTAGATCTTGGGCGTGTTTCTAATGACCAGGGTGTGCACATGTGAATTACCTTGAATAGCAAAATCACGGTTTTTGTTATGATCGCAAACAACAATGCCTGTGGTTGTTCTACGCTTTGCAACCAAACACAAGGCGAGCATACGCTCATATTGCGCACTGACATTAAAATATTAAGTTATTTCAGCAACTCTTGGAGGTATTTAAAAACCATTTTAACACCATACAGTTCCCATTATCCATCAAAACATTAAAACATCACAGATTCATTTTGCCAATTCAACAACAACAGTAGATTTTACAAACTTTCTTACGACGTAAATAGGAAGAAATTCTGTCTGTTGTAAGTAGCACCACCTTATTT